CTACAATTCTCGGAAGACGAGCTGTTTTCCGACCTTGCCGTAGATGTCCGATATTTATTTTTTATAAACTGATTTGCTTTACAGGAAATGGAGTTGATACCATCGAAAATGTATATAGCGCGAAACCTTAAAAACAGCATTACCTATGGAAGATAGTTAAATTAATTTCAGTCTTTAAATAACATTTTCAAGTAGTTGGATCGTGTCTTGAGGAAAGTATTTGGTCAGAGTAGCACTTGTGGTACCTTTGCTATGGTGATGTTATAAAGTATACGATAATCCATTTCGGAGCTAAAGGTAACGAAATTCCCTGATGTTGAGCTGAAGCCGACAAAATATTTAATGAACATTTGTTACATTACAAACATATTCCTTTCACGACATAAACTTTACACAATAAGGTTGTAATAAGATCAAACAACCTTTTCCCTTGAGCCATGTCACCTTTATACATCACCAATGTGATAACTGTACAAAAGTATGATTCACCGAGACCTGACTGTATTTAAATCTATCCATCTGTACAACAACTTCATAGAGGTCGGAAGTGGTCTAGGATATTTGGTGACCATTTTTCTTTATTATGAACAAGAGGTTCCACAGGATCTTGGCACTCACCATGGTTTGAGCTTTAATAATATTCGGACCTTTTTCATTCTTTTCTCTTCTTTCCTCTGTTTTTGGTCTGCATTATATGGGATTTGAAAATTCCTCTCAACAAATAGCCATAATAATCTAAAGAGAAAAGCATAACTAGAAAGAAGTGGTAACCTACCAATGAAATCTCAGAAAGATCAATCCTGTATTTCTCTAGAAAGACTGATTACAAACTATCATAGTCGAAATCCAAGATGGCCGCATATAAGCCATATTTTTATCAGTCCAAAAATCAACTATGCGCAACACAATACTTGTGTAACCTACGCCTAAAGTTTGAGAGAGTGATCCCACCAATACCTCTAAAGAAATAGCTAAAGTAATCATTTAAGGACAAACAGACAACAGACCAAAAGCAATTCAACATGATGACATTAAAAGTGAGATCCATCTATTGTGTACTAAAGAGTTTTTTTCTTTTTACTGCATATTGACCTATATCCCAAATCTTGAAATGTTGTAAACACATTGGAAAAGGACCAAATACACATGTCACAAGTTTTTAAATCCCTGTAATATTTCTGTAGATACCAGTAACTGAGATGGTAGGCTACCATGAGAACTACAGACATTAATTTTTTTATTCACCAAAGCATACTTCAATGTCTCCTTATCACACTGATTAAGTAGCCATCACAGATCCATGGCGGACCATGTATTAAAAATCTTCTGTACAACACTAAGTATCTGTAATTGTTCTAAGATATAACATTTAAGGGAGACAGAATGTGATTTCAGTAAACCACAATTGCAGATCGCTGTAAAAGGAAGACTGAGAATGTTATAGCTGGTACACAAAGATTCTTCATTATTAAAAAGGTATCTTCCCATGTGTCTAGTACATTTAGCGGATATTTACATACAATATGTACAAAAACATGTAAAACCTGGTCAGTGTTCCAAGTATTTACAAAACCAGACACAGTTGTCTCCCTTGCTTCATCTCCATAGGCTTTTAAGAGATGGAATGAATAACTATTTGTACAAAAATATATGTGAACAATATATACCTGTGTGACCGATACAAAACCTGTAAATTAGTGTAAAGATTACCTTTAACAGTCAGCTCTTCTGACTTACATTGTCATTCAGTTAAGTAGTTATGGTAATTGCAGCAACAGCAACAAGAAATTATTTTATTTAAAATACAAATGTAAATAATTCTTGTCTAAATATGCCTGTTTTCAATTATTCTTCTTGTGGCCTTCAAAAAGTAACATGCAAATAGAATGGAAACTTTTGGAAAATTTTTGAAATACAAAAAACTTTCAGTGGGTAATGTTGAGGTTTACCTAGCCCAACTGTATGGAGAACAAGAATTTTTTTCAGGATGTGTCAGATTGAGATCAACTTCAGGTAATGACTCTAGGGGTTCACATGTCTTTGGAATGGTGCAGGACCGTGTTCAAGGACAGCAACAAACAGGATCTGCCTGATAATAGTCACAAAGTCATCAATACTAACACACGTTCTCTCTCCTGTCCATATGAACTTTGCGATTCCCATTTAGAAAAAGTGTTATGATCACATTGTTTACACTTGTAAATCTACTCCAATGTTACCTGGGCCTAGGTACATATTTACTAAACCATGTCATCAGTATGCAGTATACATCAGGGTTTTTCTATGTGGTTAAAAAAATTGTTGCAGTTTTACCAAAACCTTGAGCGAGAAGTTACATGAAAGATTGTTTTCTCTATTCATTACATTTTCAAAGTATTTCATTGTTGCCATTTTATTTTAAAATCATAAACAGCAACCCCCTTTACAGTTTTTTAAAAATCTAAAGTCATCTTTATCATTAACAAAACTAGCTACTATCTCCATATCACTAAGATCTAAAGTCCTTATCATAAAACCCAATTTGTACCAATAAAAGTAATTACCTTGGCCTATCTATGGATTTCAAAAGCTCACAAATCAAGTCATGTTACATCACTTTTTAATAATAAATTTGTAATTACAGTTTTTTTTTATCACAGAGCAAACTGAGACTTGTATGATGATGCTGATTAAAACACAATGCACCAGTCCAACAACTGTGAAAAACAGAACAAATTGTGTGAAAAATCAACAGATTTTAATGCCATTAGAAATGATGAGGCTTAAAATCATTAAACAAAAGAGGATTCAAGCACTGGATGTGTGTAATAGTTATATCATTTCTACTATCCCAATTGTACTACAAATCAAAGAGCTTAACTCTCGAGTATATATATACATGCTCACATAACTATACAATTTGTATGAGTAGCAAAATCACTCTATTGATTAACAAGAATCAAGTATCATAGCTTAGCGCTTTTCAGTGGCACTGTAACAGATATCATCAACTCATTTACCGGTAGTCGTTCATGAAAGAAAAAGACAAGCATCACTCAAAATCTACTGGTTTACCAATACCTTGAATGTCATGTTATGAAACCATTATTACAGAAAACATTTTAAAAAGTTCATCATGATATTGTTCCAGTAGACATTCACATCATACTAACACTTGAAATAAAAATAACCAGAAAATGACAATATGAAAGATACTGGTTTCTTATAATCTGAGAAACCAATGCTAGTTTTCTGTCACCTGTCTGATACCTCAACATAATCTTTGGTGCAAAGTGACACCCTAATTGAAATAACATCAAATCCAACTGCCTTTCTAACATATCACTTAAAAGTGTACAAATCTTAAAAATTTGGAAAAGAAAATAATTGATAGTTGTATGCAATAGTTTCTATAAATCTGTGTAACTACATTACAAGGAACAGGTATGCAAATAAGATAAAGAACAAATACATGTGTCCAGAAAAATTGGGATCTAAAACATTTTTGATACAGGTATGTAGGTATCTGTAATATTTGTATCTAAAACACAAGAAGGATGAGATACAGATTTATCACATAATCAACCTGTTTTCCACCTGTTTTCATTTCATATGAGAATTTATGAAACTTGTTTTCAGTTTTGTTCCCAAAAGCTCACAAAAATAAAAGTTTTAAAGATTTGTTTCATAAAATCTCATGAAACAAAAACTTGGTTATCATATATATGTAAAATACATGATACAGGTATCTGGAATACAAGAAAAATGTATTAGTATGAGACACCTCTCAAGAATATGAGATTAAAGACAAAACATTTTTTTACATATCACAATCTTGTCCATATTTAAGGGCTGATATACACTGGGCATCCACGTATGTAACAAGATATTCACATATGTAACAAGATATCCACATATGTAACTAGATATCCAAACATGTAACTAGATATACACACATGTAACTAGATATACACACATGTATCTATATATCACAATATGTTACTAGATATCCACATATGTTACTAGATATCTACACATGTAACTAAATATCCACATATGTATCTATACATCACAATATGTTACTAGATATCCACATATGTTACTAGATATCCACACATGTAACTAAATATCCACATATGTATCTATATATCACAATATGTTACTAGATATCCACATATGTTACTAGATATCCACACATGTAACTAAATATCCACACATGAATATCTACCCACACATGAAAATGTATATCCACATATGAAACTAGATATCTACATATGTAACTAGACATCCACATATGTAACACATCTCAGTTGTGTCTAAAAAATTCCTGCCATCTACTTATAATCTCCATGGGAAATTTTGACTATTTGACTATTACACATGCACCAACTTCATTAATGTGAATTGAGAAGATAGTTACATTAATATCAGAATCAATACAGATGACTGATCTAACACCAACCGTGTATCTAGGTCCTAATAGACACGTCTATTATCAGAATCAATACAGATGACTGATCTAACACCAACCGTGTATCTAGGTCCTAATAGATACGTCTATTATCAGAATCAATACAGATAACTGATCTAACACCAATCGTGTATCTGGGGTCTAATAGACACGTCTATTATCAGAATCAATACAGATGACTGATCTAACACCAATCGTGTATCTAGGTCCTAATAGACATGTCTATTATCAGAATCAATACAGATGACTGATCTAACACCAATCGTGTATCTAGGGTCTAATAGACTAGTCTATTATCAGAATCAACACAGATAACTGATCTAACACCAATCGTGTATCTAGGTCCTAATAGACACGTCTATTATCAGAATCAATACAGATGACTGATCTAACACCAACCGTGTATCTAGGTCCTAATAGATACGTCTATTATCAGAATCAATACAGATAACTGATCTAACACCAATCGTGTATCTGGGGTCTAATAGACACGTCTATTATCAGAATCAATACAGATGACTGTCTAACACCAATCGTGTACTAGGTCTATTATCAGAATCAACACAGATGACTGATCTAACACCAATCGTGTATCTAGGGTCTAATAGACTAGTCTATTATCAGAATCAATACAGATAACTGATCTAACACCAATCGTGTATCTAGGGTCTAATAGACTAGTCTATTATCAGAATCAACACAGATAACTGATCTAACACCAATCGTGTATCTAGGGTCTAATAGACTAGTCTATCTTCTGATAATAAAGGTATCCTTCAATGGGTTTTATATGAAGACAGAGAAGTTTTATTTCAACTATATGAAATAAAATGATCAGACAAAACTTTTATTGCACTTTTTTTTGTTAATTCTTTTGTTAGTGTAATTATTTATCAGCATAATCAGGAAAAAAAACAATTTCTTTTAAAAACTTCAATATTTTAAAGCCAGACATTGTGAAAATTTTTGAAATATTACAGTCTTTATGAAATGAAAGAGGAAATTTCTGTTTTTATCACAGTATCTCAGCTTGAACAAATTAAAACATAACTTTGGTCAGTAAATATTTTACATTAGCACTTTAAAATACCATACCTAATCCATGTCAGTGTTTACATGCTCCAATATAAAACCAGTGTTAACAATATACAAACAGATGTACATTGTATAATGTTGTGTGATTACCATTTCATCACATGACCTATGTGTGATGTGATATTATACCATTTTCCTATCTTATAAAACAAAAACTAAACATGATGAAGGTGATGAACAATTCCCTTCCATTTCATGTAATTTTGTTTCCAAAACCTCTGAAATCCTATATAAGTAAAAAATTTAATACGACTGTCACATCATGTCAGATAAAAGTGAATATGAAAATCCAGTTGTCACTGCTGTTAGTCTATACACAATTACATCTATTTACAATTTACAACCCTAATATATACACAGATGTACATATCACATTTCATTCTTTGAACAAAATAAAAGTACAATTTTCTTCCAACTTCAAGCATCCAATCTCTCTTCTTATAGACACACACTCCAATAATATATATTTACACAACAAGCACTCAAGTTTACTTGGTTTAAGCTATTTACATAACAACTCTGTCTAGTTGTGGCAACTCGACAATTATCACATCAGTCATTATCCTCTTTTATTCCTTAAAAATAATCCTAAAATAGCTGTCAGTCTGACATGAGCCAATTAATTAAATTATACACAGAAGCTATATTGGTTTGTATAGTAGAGTAGTCACATACTTTTTCCTGAATCTATGAGTGCCGCTAAGCACCATCACACCATCCTGTAAACAAAGAAATACAGTTAAAAAAATCATCACACCATCCTGTAAACACTGTATAGTTATACACAATCACACCACCCTGTAAACACTGTATAGTTATACACAATCACACCACCCTGTAAACACTGTATAGTTATACACAATCACACCATCCTGTAAACACTGTATAGTTATACACAATCACACCATCCTGTAAACACTGTATAGTTATACACAATCACACCATCCTGTAAACACTGTATAGTTATACACAATCACACCATCCTGTAAACACTGTATAGTTATACACAATCACACCATCCTGTAAACACTGTATAGTTATACACAATCACACCATCCTGTAAACACTGTATAGTTATACACAATCACACCATCCTGTAAACACTGTATAGTTATACACAATCACACCATCCTGTAAACACTGTATAGTTATACACAATCACACCATCCTGTAAACACTGTATAGTTATACACAATCACACCATCCTGTAAACACTGTATAGTTATACACAATCACACCACCCTGTAAACACTGTATAGTTATACACAATCACACCACCCTGTAAACACTGTATAGTTATACACAATCACACCATCCTGTAAACACACACAATCACACCATCCTGTAAACACTGTATAGTTATACACAATCACACCACCCTGTAAACACTGTACAGTTATACACAATCACACCACCCTGTAAACACTGTATAGTTATACACAATCACACCACCCTGTAAACACTGTACAGTTATACACAATCACACCACCCTGTAAACACTGTATAGTTATACACAATCACACCATCCTGTAAACACTGTATAGTTATACACAATCACACCATCCTGTAAACACTGTATAGTTATACACAATCACACCATCCTGTAAACACTGTATAGTTATACACAATCACACCATCCTGTAAACACTGTATAGTTATACACAATCACACCATCCTGTAAACACTGTATAGTTATACACAATCACACCATCCTGTAAACACTGTATAGTTATACACAATCACACCACCCTGTAAACACTGTATAGTTAAATTACATATGTTAAAACTAAACACAATCACACCATCCTGTAAACACTGTACAGTTATACACAATCACACCATCCTGTAAACACTGTACAGTTATACACAATCACACCATCCTGTAAACACTGTATAGTTATACACAATCACACCATCCTGTAAACACTGTATAGTTATACACAATCACACCATCCTGTAAACACTGTATAGTTATACACAATCACACCACCCTGTAAACACTGTATAGTTATACACAATCACACCATCCTGTAAACACTGTACAGTTATACACAATCACACCACCCTGTAAACACTGTATAGTTATACACAATCACACCATCCTGTAAACACTGTACAGTTATACACAATCACACCACCCTGTAAACAATATAATGTTTTACACCATTACACCATCTTGTAAACACTATACTGTTATACACATAAAAATAAAACCAAATCCCTACTAACATTTTTGAATGTAAATAGCAACATGTACAACATTTTACAATGAAATAGAAAGATTCTTTTAGTATAATCATTGATTCACAAACATTTGACAACTGGGTACAGTCCATATCTTAATTGATTACCATTTCTTGTTTACTGTTCTTACACCAACTATATCCATCTTAAAACATTTAACGTGTAAAGGAATTAAAATTTAATAAAGAAAATTGAAAATCAATTCTTCTTGAATATTCACAATAACTTGAGAGCTGAAGATTTTATCTTAATTACATCATCCATTTTACAGATCACAGATTAAGTAAATAACAAGAATGTCTCAGATATTAATGCTCCCAGTCCCATCCAAATTTACAGCTTCTATAAAGTAACAGTGAACATTGAACTCTAAAACACACATCACTATAAATAGGCTTTCTTATAGTTTATCTTAAAATCATTATGGAGACTTTGACCTTTGAATCCTCTTTTATTTTGAAGTATTCAAATGATACAGCTACCTACCTTTATAGACAATGCATAAAGATGGTTTAACATCACATGGTTGGGTTCAGGCAGCAGGGTCGGCTCACACTAAAATCATAAACCACTGATATTTATAATTTTGTTTTAATAAAAAATACATGCACATGAAACATGTTTAATTAGATTTCAATAATTACTCTTGCTAGCCTTGATGAAAGCAAGCAGGCCATTTTACAATTGTTTTATAGAAGAGAAAAATCTGAAGTTCTTACACATGTGTCCATTTCCATTTATGTTTCAAATTACATATGTTAAAACTAAACCTTAACGAAATTTTAACAATGGTACCTGGTAATGTAGTGTCCATGCTGATTCAAAATTACATGCTTTGTGTGCCAATGTCAATTCAGACTTACATTATTAGCTGGTGTGTCCATGTAGATTGTGTCTTTCATGAGCATGTGTGCCCATGTTGAATGAGACTTACATGAGCTTGTGTGTCCATGTTGAACGTGACTTACATGAGCTGTTGTGTCTATGTTGAATGTGACTTACTTGAGCTGGTGTGTCTTTGTTGAATGTGACTTACAACGATTGTGTGTCTATGTTGAATGTGACTTACATGAGCTGGTGTGTCTATGTTGAATGAGACTTACATGAGCTTGTGTGTCCATGTTGAATGTGACTTACTTGAGCTGGTGTGTCTTTGTTGAATGTGACTTACAACGATTGTGTGTCTATGTTGAATGTGACTTACATGAGCTGGTGTGTCTTTGTTGAATGTGACTTACACGAGCTTGTGTGTCCATGTTGAATGTGACTTACATGAGCTGGTGTGTCTATGTTGAATGTGACTTACATGAGCTGGTGTGTCTATGTTGAATGTGACTTACATGAGCTGGTGTGTCTATGTTGAATGAGACTTACATGAGCTTGTGTGTCCATGTTGAATGTGACTTACTTGAGCTGGTGTGTCTTTGTTGAATGTGACTTACAACGATTGTGTGTCTATGTTGAATGTGACTTACATGAGCTGGTGTGTCTTTGTTGAATGAGACTTACATGAGCTTGTGTGTCCATGTTGAATGTGACTTACATGAGCTGGTGTGTCTTTGTTGAATGAGACTTACATGAGCTGGTGTGTCTATGTTGAATGTGACTTACATGAGCTGGTGTGTCTATGTTGAATGTGACTTACATGAGCTGGTGTGTCTATGTTGAATGTGACTTACATGAGCTGGTGTGTCTATGTTGAATGTGACTTACATGAGCTGGTGTGTCTATGTTGAATGAGACTTACATGAGCTTGTGTGTCTATGTTGAATGTGACTTACATGAGCTGGTGTGTCTATGTTGAATGTGACTTACATGAGCTGGTGTGTCCATGTAGATTGTGTCTTTCATGAGCATGTGTGCCCATGTTGAATGAGACTTACATGAGCTTGTGTGTCCATGTTGAATGTGACTTACATGAGCTGTTGTGTCTATGTTGAATGTGACTTACTTGAGCTGGTGTGTCTTTGTTGAATGTGACTTACAACGATTGTGTGTCTATGTTGAATGTGACTTACATGAGCTGGTGTGTCTTTGTTGAATGAGACTTACATGAGCTTGTGTGTCTATGTTGAATGTGACTTACAACGATTGTGTGTCTATGTTGAATGTGACTTACATGAGCTGGTGTGTCTTTGTTGAATGAGACTTACATGAGCTTGTGTGTCTATGTTGAATGTGACTTACTTGAGCTGGTGTGTCTTTGTTGAATGTGACTTACAACGATTGTGTGTCCATGTTGAATGTGACTTACATGAGCTGGTGTGTCCTTGTTAAGTATGACCTGCAGTAGATGAGGAGGTAGTATAGGGGGCCCACTATGTTTCTCTCCAGGCCGTCTGGGGGGTACTTCCTGCCCATAATCATTTTGTGGACCACTGATGTCGACTGTAGAATAAAAATAATCATTTTGACAATCTCCATCTCCTACTGACTCTAGTAATCACATCTGTGTACCACAACAGCTTTGTATAGTGAACTTCATACTCGCATCTGTGTACCACAAACATGTATACAGACCTTCATACTCACATCACTTACCTTCATACTCGCATCTGTGTACCACAAACATCTATACACACCGACTCTCGAGCTCATATCTGAGTGACTCACATCTGTGTACCACAAACATCTTTGTATACAGACCTTCATACTCACATCTGTGTACCACAAACATCTTTGTATACAGACCTTCATACTCACATCTGTGTACCACAAACATCTTTGTATACAGACCTTCATACTCACATCTGTGTACCACAAACATCCATACACACTGACTCCCGAGTTCATCTCTGAGTGACTCACATCTGTGTACCACAAACATCTATACACATCGACTCTCTAGCTCATATCTGAGTGACTCACGTCTGTGTACCACAAACATCTATACACACCGACTCTCGAGCTCATATCTGAGTGACCTAAGTATACATGGCATTCTGACCCTCATACTTACATCTGTGTACCACAAACAGCTATGTATTTAGACAAACATATTGATATCTGTGTGACACAAACATCCATGTTATATTAACCCTTATACTCACATCTAGATGACACAAACATCCATGTTATATTAACCCTTATACTCACATCTAGGTGACACAAACATCCATGTTATACTAACCCTTACACTCACATCTAGGTGACACAAACATCAATGTTATACTAAACCTTATACTCACATCTAGGTGACACAAACATCAATTTTATACTAACCCTTATACTCACATCTAGGTGACACAAACATCAATGTTATACTGACCCCCATACTCTGTGTGACACACACATCAATGTTATACTGACCCCCATACTCTGTGTGACACACACATCAATGTTATACTGACCCCCATACTCTGTGTGACACACACATCTTCCTTACAATGATTTTCATATACTACAAATCCCTTATAGTTCTTATTTTCATACTTACGTCGTTTGGCACTGTTGGTGTTTTTGCTATCCAGTGCTAATGCTTCAAATACTTCAAAGTCTGATTTTTTCACATTGATGACATTGTTCAATGTACCCACAGTATTTTCTACAGTAGGCTGAAAAATACAGAGATTGTGTCACATATCATAGTAAAAGATTGACATCCGATAACCTTTACATTTGTAATACAGCTCATGTTACACCAATATTCTAGGTTATTTTTTAATTATAAACAAAGGTTGAGATCCTAAACCACTTTTACTTTATATAATGTATATCAAGTTACAGTGTGCATGAAGAAATCTGTTGAATTTCTGATGTGATTGTACCACTTTGTGAGGACACACACAAGAAACAATGAAACACAAAATACTGTATATTATACAGAGAGAAGAGTTTCTCTGTTGTAACTATTGTTTGGAGTATAACATCTATTCCTGTCCTGATATTTCATGTCTTTTCTCCCCTTTTTCTTTTTCTGCCTTTATTGTCCGTGAACAGAAAGGGTATGTTGCAGGCAGGGTCTCCTTGTAGTACCTAGTGGTGAACGACACACTGAAGACCGGTCTTATGGTATCAAAAGCAATGAGATAAATTTGTCTTGTCCAGGCCCAGTAACACAACCACAGCTCAGACTGGTCCATGTCTCAGCGGAGCAATTGTGGCCCCTACTATTTCTTTTCTTTTCGGTATGAAATGGATAAAGGAACTTTCACAAAGGGACACACCATATTTGAAATAAAACAAATTTCTCTGCACTTCCAGCACTTGTAAAACTTTATGTATTGACAATCTATATGATAATCATTGATTAATACTAAATTTCTTTTAATTGATCTTCAAATTTAACTTTTTCTTTCACACATATATATGACACACTAGCAAATTATACTTGTCTCTAACGGTCATTTATGGAAAGGAAAATATTCTTAATTCAAATCACAACAATGACTGTTATCTATAACGACAAGCACTATAAGGCCAAGTAGTGACAGATGACACCACAGAAAGACTGATTGTATACCAGCTTCAGAAACAATTTAACCTTGAAAATCGATTACTTGGTAACGAGATACAGTTTAGCTTCTAATTTTGTATTTATAAATGTCCTGTCAATCTCTCTGTAGAGAGTAAAAAATATTCTGTCAGTTGAAGTTAAGATTCCACCGCATACAATGGAACATGCAACCGAACTTGTTGCCATATCAGGCACTTGTACTGGATACCATGGATTATGCATGTAGGATTACAATAAGCATGGTCACTTAAATACTGGCATTAGCAACACTAAATTCTAAGAATCCCATCCCTAAATATAAAATGTTGTTGTTCATGATACAAAGAGTTAAAAAAAGTTGGCAGAAAAAGTAAATATGATTGGTTAAACACTGACAAGATATATAAAATATTAAGTTACTTTTTTGTTATACAACTCAAGTTGACCCCCTTCCCTGTTAGATCTGCCATTATTCTTAATGTTATACAACACACTGAAATTTCCTTAGATCAATTAACACTAATTAAATTCAATAAATTCAATAAGATATACAGAATTATCTGTATTCCAAGGACTCAATTCTCACTTCATCTGAATTTCATTGAAATAGTTCAATCTTTCCCATAAAGAGCGTATTCTGACTGTTGATTAGTGAAACTCTTACAGCTGCCTGATGCTGTGGTGTCTTAGATTCTACACAGAACACGGTAAATAGGACAGGACCATATCAAATTTACTTGTACAAGGAGATAATATTGCCAGAGTTCTTAATAATTTCTTACATCACAGATGGTTTACTAATACAGCACTTATACAGAAAGCTTATACAGAGTGGAATATATGGACACATGCATACATTGAAGTTATCTCCCTTTAAGAAACAATATCAAATGTACACTGTATGCTATTATATTGCAGGCAATTGTTACTTTTATGCTAGCCTGAACTTAAATATGTATGTATTTGTAACTTACTATGTGTGATATATATAGTACAAAAGGTCGTAGACCTAGTCGTAGGTAACTATGGATTATATGATACATACAAGCAAGAGTTGTAACCCTTGTCAGCGCCTGTTGATTTTGCTATTGATGGTATGCCATGCTCAAAGACATAACTGGTCCCTTTATCATTTTCTTGAGAAACACAATCCGCAACAGGAAGGGAGGGTCATATTATAAAAAGGTATGTTACAGGTATAGGATATATTACAGAGGTTTGTAACCCTAATCTGAAGTCCCTATTATGTATACATACTATGGAGCATGATATGCCTATAACATGTATAAGTAGCAGAAGAGAATAGTATAACCCTAGTGTGTGGTCATGTTAAACTGCAGGTATTAATTATAAGGAGCACAAAATACACATATAACAAAATTTGGAGATTATACATCTAGCTACAGAACATAATACTTCTGTTTGTGTTACACCTAATACAAGAGATTTTATCAACTATATATGATACCATCCCTGTGGTCCTCTATAATCTATAGTTTTGTGTGTTGTACATTATACAGATACAAGACAAGGGGACATAACTCTACCTCCTCCTCGCCGTGTATCCACTGCCCATCCACATGAAATTTATATTGATGCTCCCCCTCTGGCAGATCTAAAATCGTGATAAAGTTCCCATGGCTGAAAAACAGTGAAAGAGGTCCAAACATAAAACAAAGCCACAGCAGAACTATTTGTACATAATTAGCATGCATACCAACACCAATCAAGCTTTCAACAAAAGGAAATGTTAGCTCTAATGAGAGCACTTGGAAAACAGCCCACAGGATGAAGAAGCTTCGTTTCCACAAACACATTTGAGATGAAACAGGAAATAATGATGAAACTCCAGTTTCAAATTTTTGAATAAGTATTTCAATTAACATATCGTTAGTAATATCTTGTACTTTTCCTTTAATTTGGGACTTGTCCATATTTTGAGAAAACACTATACAAAATGAATTGCTTTAATAGCTATGAACTGTCAGGCAATACTCTGTTCATTATTAAAACAAATAACACAAGTATTTTTTTTATAGAAATGACAAAAACCTCCATGACAACTAGACTTCCTACACATGTAGGTATGGATAACACAGTAATTACAGAACACTGTCCTTAATATTGTAAACCAGGACAATGTACCACAGTAATTATCACTTCTGTTTCTTGACAAAATGCCAGATATTTAAGCTTTAAAATACAATAACAAAGGTCATAGGTTACATGATGTGATTTAAATATGAATGGAATGTACTGAGACAAGTAGCTGAATCCCACATGATTTCCTGTTTCACCATGAGTAAACATACACTTGTATAACAAACACATTGGTCTCCATCTGCCAACATTGTACTGACAGCAAAACCCACATCACAACATCATAATAATAAATATCAAAATGTGTCAAGGTGATCATTTCACCAACCTATTACAATTACACAACCTCTAATTGTAAGAAATTGTATTTCGAAGGTATTGTCAGTACGGTATATATATGATGACAGAGAAAATCAATGAGTATTAAAAGGAAACTGCATGCTCTACAACAAAAGATATATATACGGTGAGAAACAAAACAAACTTGTCTGATGTGTGTTTACAGTAGGATACTGTTCATCTTATCTAGCCAGTCTAAGCCAGTCTAAGGTATACCCAGGTTACTCTGATAATGAGACGGACATCTTGAGTAGGTACACATTGTCCCAGATCACAGACATGTACAGATGAGAAATGTGCATCTTCAAATTAGTATATAATGTCTAACAGTGTTAAATGTAGATCTGTAGAATGTCTGTGATACAGGGTTACAGATTTGTAACTAGGAGAAGAACAGAATTCCTCCAACACACACACAGGTCATCAAAAGTGGAGTACCTCGTTAGGGTTGTGCACCCACTGACCATCAACAAAAAACTTATATTGATGGTCTCCTTCCTCTATATTCACAATAGCAAAAAAATCACCATGGCTGAAATAAGAAAGACACAACACATATGTTAGCTGACAATTACTATTACTTTCTGTGGGGTATAGACAGTTCATAATCATGAAGTAAGAATTTCTATGGGTCATTTTAAAGTGTAGTCACTTGATACATGTACTAGTCACATCACACGCGTCTAGTCAAACTTCCAATGGACATCTTAACATGTAGTCACATCATACACATTTAGTCACATCATAATATTTAATCACATCATACATATTTAATTACATCATACACATATATTTACACTTCTATAGACCATCTTATTAACGTTGTCATACACATGTAGTCACACTTCCTACTCACTGTGAGGTTCAGTTTTTACATGCATTCACCTATACATCAAGAGTAGAGGTCAACTCATAATGACACTGCACCTGAAGGGGGATCATTATAACTTCATACTAACTACAAATAACACATTCAAGCACAAATTTTGAAAGTCAGTCCGATATGTAATACAGGTAGGAATCATTAAAATCAAGGTCAGAATAAGGAGGATATTATTTAACAGACACAATTTGTCACAAAACATATGTGGTGCAATGACTATAGGATAAACAAAACAGAATGTCCATGAATATATATAATACACACTGCAAGAATGCAAAATGACAATTATTAATGTATCAAAATTATAAATTGCAAACTTGAGATTTTCATTACACTAGTATTTATATTTGAATTATTTACTACAAAAGTGCAGTAATTAAAAATGCCCTGCAGCCATCGTCATCGCCTATGCCAGTAAAGCTTATGTAGACTGTAGAGACTTGACACATAAATTTTGCATGTCAACAACCCCTACAATTTTGGTACCAAAGATTAGTACATACATTGTATACTAAAATAAAAGGTTCAATATCGATGATCAGTTCCTTTTTTTGTTAAGTCTGGTATGTTGTCATTTTTAACATGTCTCAATCTGAACATTTACCAAATATTTTCCAAAAAAATTAATCATACCCTATAGATCAGTGGTTTGCAATAGATAAGAGGATTTTACAGTTAGCAAGGTAGTAATAATCAACATTATGAGTAATATATGGCGTTGCATACTAACAGCACTATACCAGTATATTGTAATTGACTTTCAAATTAAGTACATAACACCAGTGGACTGGCATTCATCTAACTGGTCTAAATCATTATATATATTTCTTAATTGTTAGGCGATCAGTATAACAATATAACTTGTGGATTTGAGTCTGTCATAACATACTCCAAACATGGACATTATCTTAGCTGTATGGAAATTTGTGATGCATCATAACTTGTTAAACACTTCAATGTTATCTCGCGCTTATACAGTGTATTGCTATATAATGTGATTTAACATGCAGAAAACACTGCTAAAATTAGTATAAACAATCTATTATCCTATTTTTGATATGTACAGTGATTCGTCTAAAGACGTTATAAGAATCTTCAGTTTGAATTGAGTTCTGAAATTGAATTTTCCTTTTAAAGGAAATTTTGTAAAATCTACATTTTACATATACCTCAAAAATTTGGATTCCGGTTTTCTTTTCCCACAAAAATGAAAAGACACTTCAACTTAGTCATTATAATTACACAAAAGTTATCAGATACAAGCAAATTAAAAGTTTTGTTTAGATTCAATTTATTTCAACAAAGGGGTTGACATTAACTTTTTTCTGTACTTGCCTTTTCAGACAAATTACAGGTAAAATGACTCGTCTGAAAGAAAGAATTTCTTGTCCAAATTGATAACTTTCAATTTTAAAAGGTAATTTTTAAAAATGTTTGACTTGCATAAAGCAACAAGATTGTAATCACGACAATTCAATGCACGAAATTATTGATATTTACCATGAATATAGAGGTTGTCTGATCAGCTATGGTTTTTTAATGTCTACATATACCACAATACATCACACCTACTAGATGTCCATTACTAGTATAAGTAGAGGGTCCAGGAGTATCAGCCTCTGTTATCACCTTACTTCTACTTTCGTCTTTTTAATCTTTATAATACAGCCCTACAAATTCACTTTTCCATGACCCCTGGAATTTTCAAGACTGCTTTTATCGCATTAATTTTTTTTCTCTATTACAGATAGATCCTCTTCTTCTACACTCTTTCACCAATTGTTTGACCTGTTTCTAAGGAAGCCAAATTTAATCAGTCTGCTTTCCATTTTAGACTTTTTCTCTCATTTCATCAGCATTGACGCAGTGTCTTACAAGTTAACTTTGCGTGCCTTTTTATGTCAAACAAATCAGTAAGGATGTTTGCATATTTTCGTCTTTGGAAATTTAGGTAGCATTTGTATGCAGCTCTGAATTAAACAATTTCCCCTTTAGAGCATCACTTCCATTGTACTCAGTGTCATGTGTACACGTTCACCCCAATATCAACTTAGTTTTTGCATATTTTCGTCTTTGGAAATTTAGGTAGCATTTGTATGCAGCTCTGAATTAAACAATTTCCCCTTTAGAGCATCACTTCCATTGTACTCAGTGTCATGTGTACACGTTCACCCCAATATAAACTTAGTTTTTGCTTATCTTACTTAGAGTATAAAGTAATTAATGATTTCAGAATACAAATAAAAATACAGATAAATATTTCTCATTTATCTCATCAGACAAATGTTTCAATGTCTTCACTTCACTGACAGCAATTTTATTTGGTACTGGACAAGCGGACAAGCGTTAATGTTGACCCCAAATGATTATGGATACATAACTACACATGTGTTCCTCCTTATAGATCATTTAATTACATTTTGGTATACTTGATATAGAAATCATTATGAGACAATGTACAGTACCTTTTAGCGAGTGGTATCTTTTGTCGCCACTGGTTAAATGATCCTGATATGTACACTTCCTTGCCACCGCCTTCCCATTTGAACACTGTAGGTAATAACTTTTCTTTAAGATTCTCTGGGTCACCCTGACTTTGTGTGGTGGCAGCTCTGGCCCTCTGAAATAAAAATGTCAGATAATTATCTATATCATAAACAACTAAATATCAATCTTCACGATTTTGTGTATACATATTAAACCCAAAAATGATATCATTGATATCACATATATACAAATCTATTTTTGAATTGTGCATATATTCATAAACTTTGAATAAGACATATCAAGGTCTTGCATATCATGCAATTGACATTTTTTCTTTTTTCAATTTGAATAAAGACAAAGTTTAAGGGTTACATTTGACTTGAGCCAATCAAACATACACAATCTTTGACAGGGAACAGTTGAATATGCCCAGTTGTCATGGCTGATCATGATGGCAGGTATAATTAATGAGTTCAGTAATTAAGATTAATCAATTCCAGAATATTTGTATATATTGATTTCTCAAACTTAAAATTGCTATTTCTGCCTGATAGAAACTTTCACATAAATACTTTATATGCACAAGACAGGAGAGAAGGCATTTCGACTTACCCTCTATTACATAGATACTCTTTATCTAACAAATATACTTGTATATTGTAATGAAGGTTTGTTACAATATACAAGTAATGAAGGTTTGTTAATCCTTTGCTGTCTATATTCCTCCTCTCCCAGGTTTGTTCTACCACATTAAAATGTTTGGCAAGTAAAAAGTAATAGCTATAAGATTTAGATGTAAGGTTCACCAAGTCTAACTAGTGCACTCACTTTTAATTTCCAAAGCCCAGGCTGTCTGCACACACTAATTAACATCAAATCGCCTATAAATGAACAAGAGGCAGTTCTTCCCCTATTTCACTGGTAAATTAATAATCTAAACCTTCAAAAATCTTGCTCCTATCACAATAATGGCATGCTGCCGTAGTCTAAAAATGAGTTAATGATAAAAAATGTTAGTATATGTTATATATCGTACACCATCTTAATATCACTGTATCTAATGATGTGATAGGTGTCATATGTTTACAGATTTTTTGCAACTCAAACACTAGTCTACTGGATGGACTTAGTTAAGTACTACTGAAGGTCATGTACAGGTAGGCATACCATGATCATGACCTATAGCTAATTTATATATAAACATCCTAAAATTGTAAAAAAAAAATTCTTCATTAAAAATTGTCATTATCATAAGATTACTTATAAAGGTATTTCCTGTATTTATCAATAAACAAACTGCAACACGTATGCTATTGAAGGTCAACAACTAAATGCCCGTTTTGATAACTTTAATTGGTCCTTTGTCTTACCACTCCATCATTACAAAGACTTTCATTTACTTCCACCTCAAAGGCTCTGGCGTCATGTAAATCTTGCAGGAACTGTTCAATTTCTCCGTGCATAAACATGGTTACTATCAGTGCGGTATATGAATAACAAAAACTAATATAGAAAATGTTTCCCTTTCCTTTACGGCCTCGAATGTCGGATGAACAGATTTGGGCTGCGACCTCGTGTTGATTCGACCGAAAAGCGGCAATGGCAACACATACGCTTTAACAGAAAAATAACGATGTGCTTATAATCTTCTGTTTCCACACCAACAAAAATATAAATTCGCGAAATAAGAAAGGCAACAGAAATAGACAAGGACACAATGAAATCAGTACACGCAAGCATGTAAACAACTGCTGAATATTCAGATCCATGTGACCTTGACCTTTAAACCAGTCATGAAACCCCCTCCTTCGTGAATATATCGACACACCATACAAATCATAAACCGTTTTTCTATTAACTCGTTTTTACCTACCCGAAAGTTTGGCGGAAGGACATCTGGAGGGTCGAATGATCCCGAATCGTTCATATATCGACCAGCTGTTAAAGATGGCCCCATGTCATCTCCAGACGCATGGCGACCCTTTTGAGTTGTGTTTCCCATTGCTTCACCGAACTGATAACAAGATCGACTGGTATTGTTGAAGCAGAAGGATGTTCAGTTGAGGTATGCGGTGAATAAGAAGCAAACTAATTTAAAGAAGAGGAAATCACTCAAGATGTAGGCAATGACGTTTCGCCAGCTCGACAGGTTCAATGAACTGCATGTGCGTTGACTATTCACACGTCAAAATAAGCAGGCATTAATCAAAAGAAAAATACAATTATCCCCTACTTAAACAGTATAATGTTTTAAATGTAAACTATGTCATTCTGCCTTTCACTTCCATTCTGGTCAAACATATATCAATTAATAAATCGCGAGGTGAACGAAGCGGTCTGCAAAGGTAAACAAACATGGAGGATGATAATCCCCATTTGCGCATGACATAAGAATCATGGGATTCGGCAAAACTAAACTTTGATCCATACACTGGGACGGCATTTCGGATAAAATTGTTTATATAACTTAACAGAAGTGGGTTAGATGTCAAGCCGAGTGCATTTCAAGCTGGTCTGTTTTCATACATTATTCAACGTTCAAATACGAGAAAAATATTTTGCTAAAAAAATCAAAGTAATATGAACAAGCACACGGAGTGTTGCTAAATAAATACATGTCACCTACCGGTCCCTGCAAACTATTACATTGCATTAAGTATGTCAATATGACAATACTGGGTAATACTGTTTCACCACATATGTGCATGGTCATTTGTAAGTTTGTGAGGTTCATCAAACTCTTGCCAACGAAAGAAGCCATTTTTCTCACCGTTTTTATTAAAGCATGGGTCGGAACAAATTCCAACGCCTTGTCATCGTGGACGCACCTATTTTACTAGTTCCCGACTCCCTTGTTCCGATGGGAAATATCTGTCATATCTCCTCTCCTCCCCCTTTGTAATTTGAAATCCATCATAGGTGTTCTGTTCAGCCCCCTCCCCCTCTCTTCCCATCATCCCCCAACACCCTTGTCATGTGGAAAAGAGTGTTTCCCCGACCCCTTTGTCACTGTGAATCTTTTACAACTGTTCCTCAACCCCACCACACCATACAACTTTCCCGTTCCCTTGTCACCATGGGCACACCTGATTTAACAAATTCCCGGTCCGTTTTCATATTGTGGGTCTGTTATAAAAAGGCTGTTCCCTGTTCCTTTATAATTGTGGACACACCTGTTATAACAGCTCCCCGATCAATTTTGTCACCGTTGACACACCTGTGCTTTAAGTGCATCTTGTCATTCACACTGCCTATTGCTGACCATAAGTACCGCCGATAAGACAGAGTTTCTCCTCGAGTTAACTAGACCTCCTGGTGTATGTATATCTTGGTCCTACTTTATACTATAGGAAGGACAAGGCCAAGCCAAGGTCTAAATATGCTGTTTTCCACCGCTTTAGATAAGGCAATGCCAATTCATTAATGGCAGTTGACTTTGACTTAGTACCATGCTGCGGTTCGACTATGCAATATATCTGTATTGAACCAAGCCATCGCTGTTTTGGGACAATCGCCTGGCGTGTGCAGGGACCGACGCACGGACATATATTAGGACCAGCACCTCGGCATGTCTTTGGACCATTCCTCGATTTTAGGACCAACACCTCACGACGAGCTTATATTGGAATCAGCGCCTAGATATACATAAGGACCAGCGCACCTGTAAGTATTTGGACCAGCTCTCTCTCGGTTTTGGGACTAGCGTCTCGACTTATATAGGAACCAGGGCTAGCGCCTCGGCACCTATCAGAACACAAGCGCCTCGACATATGTTGAGACTAACATCTCGATATTAAGAATAACACCACGTTATTAGGACATACCTGCAGTATCGGGACTATCCCTCAATAATGTGGACAGCCTGTCAGTATCAGCACCAAATGCTAGAACATGTACTTTGGTTTTGCGACAGACCAGGTAAACTTTGTTCTGTTTTTGAAGCTGGACCTCTCATTATTGACCGACAGACACGGGACAATAAAGCCATGTAGAGTGATGGGGTGGATGGGTTGGATGGCTGGATGCATCCATGAATCTCCCGCTTTGAATTTCAAATTCATTTTTATATATCAAGTAAGGAAAATTTTGAAGGCAATTAAAGTTTTTAGGTTATGTAGCGACGGAGTTATGATATAAACATCACAAGTTACCAGGTTATATAGCGACGGAGTTCTAATACTAACATCACAAGTTATTAGGTTATGTAGCGACGGAGTTATGATATAAACGACGGAAGTTATTAGGTTATGTAGCGACGGAGTTATGATACAAACGACGGAAGTTATTAGGTTATGTAGCGACGGAGTTATGATACAAACGACGGAAGTTATTAGGTTATGTAGCGACGGAGTTATGATACAAACATCACAAGTTATCAGGTTATGTAGCGACGGAGTTCTAATATAAACATCACAAGTTATTAGGTTATGTAGCGACGGAGTTCTAATACTAACATCACAAGTTATTAGGTTATGTAGCGACGGAGTTATGATACAAACGACGGAAGTTATTAGGTTATGTAGCGACGGAGTTATGATACAAACGACGGAAGTTATTAGGTTATGTAGCGACGGAGTTATGATACAAACGACGGAAGTTATTAGGTTATGTAGCGACGGAGTTATGATACAAACGACGGAAGTTATTAGGTTATGTAGCGACGGAGTTATGATATAAACGACGGAAGTTATCAGGTTATGTAGCGACGGAGTTCTAATACTAACATCACAAGTTATTAGGTTATGGAGCGACGGAGTTCTAATACAAACGACGGAAGTTATATGTTAAATTTATTCGATGAAAACAGCATCTTCTAAAATAAAGATCGAATACAGTTTGATAATATACCAATTTCTAGTGACATTTAACACATAATGTACTTAGTCTATATCGTCAGATTAACACACTTTAGATGTGGTTTATCATCATGATGTGTCTCAACAGCGATAGACGATTCAACATACACATGGTAGAAATGTGACTGAATGCCAATTACGGAGACGATCTTTACAATAAACGGACATTCTGGAGTAAGAAGAACAATTTGTATACGGATATGACTCCTCTATAAAGTTATATCCGATAGTCGTCGGTATGCCTTGATGGACGTATATATACAGGAATCCGTGATGGTAGCTAAGGTTCGTGTTTGATCCTGCGTCAGTTACGTTCGTTTAAAGGTGGTATTTATACACACACACCTGTCGAATGCATTTAAAGTAGTTCAATACAGGTAATACCCAACTGTCGTTATCATAATCCTTCAATGCTTTAAATTGAACAATTTACCCCCGAGCTCGCTTAGTCTGGCTAGGTGGGTCGGGTGGTAGACAATACTTAGTCAAGCAAGCAGGCTGTAAACTGGGATTGTGGTAGATTTTCAATTAACATTCATTCATCTGCACCAGTCTGTCAGGTGAAGTCACGGTTATGGAGTGTGGAGTATAGATCGTCTTGGAGGAGTTGCCAAGTGCCTATTTAACGCCATCCAGCTGATAGTGTGACCACTTCATTCATACGAAACATGGAAATATGTAGAGTACAAAAAGAAAGTATACAATAGTGCTGTGATTTTTACTTTTGGTATTCATATACCATTTTATTGGGTAATATTTTCATTTTAACTCTGTGTTGGATTGACCGAGAGGAACACCATGTTTATCTGTGTTAAGTACGGGGACAACGAGACCTTGATATGTAACCCCATGTGTGCTGTCATCAACCTCCTCAACAGCATTAAACGACGGGCGGGCTATGGAAACACAAACGTCACTGTGGACCTTTCTGACGAAACTGGTGAGTGAGGCGCACTCTCGCGTCATCATCTAACTTTAGGGCAAGTCAACCTTGAAGTAGTCTTGTGAAAAGACTGGTAAACAGTTTCGTAAACTACAACTACTCTTATAAATATTTGATCAGACAGACCCGTGACAATGACATGGAGAGGTTCAGCTGCTGAGTGTTCAGTAGAGGAAGTAAATGGGGACAGGTCTTTTAAAAGAGAGAATGCTATTAGTGGTGCCACAATAATACACTGTAGTTGTCATGAGTATTCACTATATTGGTATTTTACATATTAATTGTGTAGTTGTTATAGTTATTCACTATATGAATATTACGGGTATTCACGAGAATTCACTATATGATTTTATTGGTAGTCACTATGTTGGTATTTTACATATCAATTTTGTAGTTTGTTATAGTTATTCACTATATGAATATTACGGGTATTCACGAGGATTCACTATATGATTTTATTGGTAGTCACTATGTTGGTATTTTACATATCAATTTTGTAGTTTGTTATAGTTATTCACTATATGAATATGACCGGTATCTACGAGGATTCACTATATGGCGTTTATTGGTAGTCACTTTATTTTGTGTACGCGTATCTATTAGTAAATGGATATGGTAAGGGATACAGTTTGAATTTTCACTGTACCCACTCTCGATTGTCAACTAAAAGTAGAGACTTGTATTCCCCAGAGCCTCACTAGAAGTAGGAACGCCAGTATTCACCAGAGGCTCACTAAAGGTTGTAGGAACGCTAGTATTCACCAGAGGTTCACTAGAGGTTGTAGGAACGCTAGTATTCACCAGAGGCTCACTAGAGGTTGTAGGAACGCTAGTATTCACCAGAGGCTCACTAGAGGTTGTAGGAACGCTAGTATTCACCAGAGGCTCACTAGAGGTTGTAGGAACGCTAGTATTCACCAGAGGCTCACTAGAGGTTGTAGGAACGATGGTATTCACCAGAGGCTCACTAGAGGTTGTAGGAACGATGGTATTCACCAGAGGCTCACTAGAGGTTGTAGGAACGATGGTATTCACCAGAGGCTCACTAGAGTTTGTAGGAACGCCAGTATTCACTAAAAGCTCAATAGAGGTTGTAGGAAAGCTTTTGATTGTTCAGGAAGGGTTCTGAAAGTTGTTAATTGTATACTTGAGTGGACTGGATTAGCAATATAGAGCAGATAAAAGATAAAACCTTTTCACAGAGATTCATAATCATATTTAGCAATCATCAACCGTCTTCTTTGACATATCCATATCATAACAGGTACACACAAGTGACGGACCGACGATACTTTAACAAACCAAAGTTTTGTTTGATAGAATTTTTCGTGTTACGTGGCGTCAGATTTAAATAACAGTAAACTGTAGTTATATTTTCGTTTTCATGTCAGTATTTAAAACCAAAGTATATTTTATTATACATGGGACCCCATGGTGCACGTAAAAGGTCCTGTTGTAGATGTTTGTATATCACGTGATCCTATTGTAGATGTCGGTATATCACGTGGTCAAGTTGTGGATGTCGGTATATCACGTGATCCTATTGTAGATGTCTGTATATCACGTGGTCAAGTTGTGGATGTCGGTATATCACGTGATCTTGTTGTAGATGTCGGTATATCACGTGATCTTGTTGTAGATGTCGGTATATCACGTGATCCAGTTGTAGATGTCGGTATATCACGTGATCTTGTTGTAGATGTCGGTATACTGACGGTAATGCTCACATTACCCTGTTGTAGGTATTAGTGATACCTTGTAACCTTGATACCTTGTCGGTAATACCACTTTGTCAAGTTGTAGATGCCGGCAATACCCAGTGGTCCAGTTGTAGATGTATACCATGTTGTTGAGCAGTCCATCGCGACATCTCATTCACATGGTATATATATTTTAGGTTATCAGTGGTCCAGATGTCGTTAGGGATATACATTATCAGATTATTGCACTTCGAAAACAATAAACCGCAAAAAAAGTCAACACACGAAGACTACATGTAGTCAAACTTCTGTGAAAATAATAGAAAATTGTCAACAATACATTTCCTTATTTTAGCACGTATATGGTTATATCGTTGGTGCATTGTCGGGCTTTGTGACTTTGAAAGTGCGTCTTATTATATCCATTAAATTTGATCGAGAATTACAGCTAGATATATGAAAAGTCATGAAGAAATCTCAAAAAAAAAAAAAAAAAAAAATCCCCAGACATTCGTCGACGGACTGCATACAAATGGTGAGTAGTTATGGCCTAATCGAAAACAGGATCTCCAATTTCTATGCATAAGTTATCTTATTGAAATTTCCAATGGACTATAAATGTTGATTATCTATTCGCAGCATAATGATATTCATTCCTAGTTGTAAAGACGAGAATTTTCTATATTGATCCTCACAATTAACACTAAAGTGCTCCTCGTACCCGTTACTTATCACCGGTAATTACATGTGATTGATAAACCATTAACGTTTAGTCGTCCGCACTGTTAACGACTGTTTGGACGTACTTGTAGTGATTGAAATCCCAGTCAATATAAGACTCCTGTCTGGGCCTTCGTAAATGTACATATTAGCAAAATGTTGTTAACCTATCGAGTTTATACTCATATATTTACCATTGTATGACAACATTACGGTGTAACCCTGCCAAAGTAAGCTGTGTCGTATAGTTGACATACCTTTGTACTATGAATTTCAAACTGGATAAAGGCAAATGCTTGTTGACATCAGATGTCCAAGAATACCAACTAAAAGCAGTTCAATGCTAAGTTTTCATTTAGAAGTCGAAGAATCTTCTATGCATAGCTATTTCAAATCTGAGGTAATTAGATATTCCTCTCGTGATGTCATTTTCATTATTACGTCACATTTGATACTGCAGTGACACCGTGGCCTTCATGAGATTTCGACTGTACCATCTTGTGCTGGGTTATTCTAGATCACGATACTGAAATGTGAAGTGATTTTGGCGCTCACACGTGTTCTCAGATGATATACATTTACAACTTTACATCATTCATTCAGATGAATATGATTTCCATGAATCTTTCCCGTTATCTGAACATGTATGTAATATCACCGCCCGTTATCTTAACATGTATGTAATATAACCGCCCCGTTACTTGTATGTAATATAACCGCCCCGTTACTTGTATGTAATATAACCGCCCCGTTACGTTCTGTTATATAACCATCCCGTTACTTGTATGTTATATAACCGCCCCGTCACGTGTACGTAATATAACCATCCCGTTACTTGTATGTTATATAACCGCCCCGTTACGTGTATGTAATATAACCGTTCCTTTACTTGTATGTAATTTAACCGCCCCGTTACGTTTAATTTAACCACGTTACATGAATGTACTACATGTGTTTGCCAACCTGATAAAGTTATGTGTACGGAATATACGCCCCACTGTAATGTGTGATGTACCGCCCCGTTACGTGTGTTACCTCGACTTCAATGTATGCTTATTGAGATTTCAATGACTTCTACATTAGGTATACATCTATACAAATACAAAATTTTCTCATTTATTAACTTCAATATTGACCGTTTCTGTTAGTTTAGTTGTGAGCACAAACAGACTGGCCTGTAATGTGTCTACAACACGTTATACACCTATTCGCGAGTCGATTTCAAAGAAACTTGATTCGTTTTACTGGCACGTTATTGAGTTTTTAAACATATAATGTCCAAGGTGGATCGTATTTCTTCATTTAAATATCCGGACTGTCCGTGTATTCGAATGTACATGTGTCAAATGTCGCTGACAACAAAGCCGGGTATTGTTTGTGGAGACAATAACAGACGAGCTACTGGCTCATGCAAAGAGGACAGTGTGTGTGCATGATCACGGTGTCTAATTAAAAAATATCAAAATGTTCACTGACATGGCCAAAATTACGTCAATTCTTTAAAATTAGGTTATTATTTAAATAAGTTCCTGCTTATGGACACCTCGTCCGGTGAAAGGCCGAAAGGCCCTAACAGTAGACGTAAATCTGTTAAATAAATAAAGATGGACATCTGACATACTTGTCCATCTGTGAGAACATGTTGGGGCTATTGTCACAACTGATAATGTATAATATATACATATTTGCAATTTTTAGCACTTTTAATTCTCTATGTTTTCTTTTGCACGGAAATTGAATATGTGTTAAAACTTTTCTAGTACGAACGCATTCGTATTGTTTCGCATATTAACGTGGCTGTTAAACACTGCATTCGATAACTCAGACCAGACGTAAGAGTACACTTAAATCTATATCTATTATTGATTTAAATGTGAATTCCGAAATCTCTTCAGGAATAGTTCCTGTGTAGTTTTTGGTACCGTAATAGCTCTGTTGACGATACCGCCTTCTGTCGACTCAACCTCAATGTGTCGATCCTTACCCGAACTTGAGTTATATTTTTTCACGTAGTTGAGAAATGGGCTCTCCTGTTCTGTAGTGCTGATGTCCTTGGCTAAGAAACTCTACACCAATTGCACTGTGTGAGGTAACCAACAGCTATTATAGGTAAATCCCGCCTCAAAACGACCTTGGCTGTTGATAGGACAACAAAACCAACCAACAAGTAAACATTTCCGGTGTGGACGTTTAGGTGATATCAATACCAAAATCATCTGTAACAACAAATTATATATCTAATCGCAGAGAGTTAGTCAAGATGTCATTATTTCGGCAGACGTTGTAAGCAGAAATTTCAGTGGAATGTCACTACTAACATTATCTTATATGTTTACATATTTAAACCATATTAAGATCCTATTTATTTGGCAATATCGGTATATGAATTAGTCAGTAAGAACAATAATTGATTGTAGCCAATCAGCATTGTGATAATAGAAATGTAAGTAGGGACATTGATCAGCCTTGTTACGACATTATGGCCGTTGTATATAAATGACAGCAGCAGACATATTGAGCGCTAATGAATGCCATAATATATTTAAATATTTATTGGTGTGATACTGTTTTAACCTG